TTTTTTTTTGTTATATAATGACTAAGTTTATCATTAGTTATCTATTTCTTAAATTTTATAGATATATAAATATAATTCTTTAAGAATCAAAAGGTAAAATATTTTTAAAAATTTTTGAAATGAATAACAACAATACTAATAATATATCACCTTCTGAAAATCCTATCAATAATATTTCACCCAACTTATCTTTTTCTACTAATATATCTACCAATACAACCTGCTCTTCTAATACAACCTGTTCTTCTATCATTATAACCTATTCTCATACTCATATCAATACAATCTGTTCTCTTACCTCTATTCACACTAATACAATCTGTTCTCCTACCTCTATTCCTACCAATACAACCTGTTCTCCTACTTCTATTCCTACCAATACAACCCATTCTCCTACCTCTATTCTTACTAATACAACCTGTTCACAATTGGTGCCTCCAACTTCTGGTTCTCAAAATAGTAACAGTGATTCATTCAATTCATACAAAAGCATTAAAAGTATACAAAATATATTTGAGAAAATGAAAGAAAATGAACAAAATTAGGACATACTACCCAATCACATCATCTATCTCTTTCACGACAAACCTTATACTCTCAATAAGATACTCCATCTCGACAAGATACTCTATCTCGTTCTCCTTCTCGTTCTGAATCTATCGATCATAATAGATCGCAATCACAGAGAAGATCCTGATTATGAAATCGACAATCTTCCAATCAAAATGAACTATGCAATTGTGATCATGATGGTATATAAGTACTTTTTTTTCATTTTTCTTAGATATCGCACTTTGTGCATTTTTTTTTTTTTTTTTGAAAGGAATTTTTTTTTCTTTTTTTTTTTTTTTAAAAAAAACTGAATTGAAAAACATTCAAACCAATACTGCCAGCAGGTGGATGAGAAGATATTTACACAGCACCAGCAGCTATACCATTTACTTAAAAGAATCAATGAAGACATACGAGAAATCAAGGCAGAAGTAAAACAGCAGCAACGTGACACCAAAAATGAACTTTCTCAAAAGGTCTTGGACGTGAGTATTCGATTATATTGATATATATAGATGTAATCAGAACTCTAAGTTGGAATTTCTATAGGACGCATTTACTGGTGCTGCAAAATGCTTCTTCTCATTTTATATATACACTACCCAGACCATAGTAAAGGAAACCTTTAAGGCTTATATAGAAGAAATGTTCCCAGATTTTATATCTAACATAAGTTTAAATGACTTCACAAACTATTATCACAGCAATTGGTTGAGTCAGATAAGGTTTTCTTTCTTAATTATATATTGCTTATCTGTTATTTTATTTATAATCATTTATAATCGTTTATAATTTTTAACATATTTATTTACTATAATTTATACTATACAGATAATATTTTTAAATTAAAGCATATATTGTTTGTAATTATAAATAATCATTTTTAATTAGGAATTATCATTTTTAATTTATTTTATAGCTCCTACAAAAGATTAAGAATAATCGCGATGCTGCCTTGCAAAGTGTTAGGTCTGAGTATGAAAAGATACCTCCTTTGAAACTAATGCAGCTGCAGCCACCATTGTGAGTTGGAAGGAAAGTCAAGCCGTAAGTGATTGCTATCATATATTTTTCAAAAAAGATAATAAAGGTATCTCTGGATGTATATGATCACAAGAACAGCTTTTTAGCAATAGCAGTCCTGACTTTAACAAGCACACATTGTGTGTTTATGCTTGTGGTATATAACATCCTGCTAAACCTCCGATCACAAAATGTTTTGTTTACTGAAAGATGTATGAAACATCGTATTGAAAAAAAATATTTGGTAAGTAATTGTAGTATAATATTAGTATTAAATTAGCTATTAAATAAATGAATACATATCAAAAAGAATCAAAAATATAGACTAATCGATATATATCAAATTTATATTATAATAGCTAAATATTAATATATATTTAAATCAATATAACCCAACAGGGGAGATTACTATTGATATATATCCAATATAAATATATATCGATATATATCAGTATATTTTTTTGATAATATATATAAGAAAAAAACCACTTTTAAGATGAAGAAAATAGTAACTCCAATAACTCCAGTAATGACAGCTCCAATGTTAAAATCAAATCTGAATGAAAGAGAAGCAGTAGTAAATATATATATAAAAAAAAAGAAGTCGATATCAAGATGAAAAACTTACTCAAAATCTCCAGTAATGATGGCTCTAATAGCAAATTCACACCTAAAAGAAAGAGAAACAGCAGTAAAATATATATAAAAAAAACAATATCATATCTGAAAGAAGAGAA